TACACTCAAATGTATTCTATAGTTATATTAAAAGAAGAATATACAAAGTAAAATTACTGTTTTGTTCCCTCCTTAGTTTAATTTTAAAATGTAGATTTCAGGTTAATCATCATCATCATCATCATCATATTAGTGTAGGTAGTTAAAGTCAAAAATACTGCCATGCTGAAAAGGCCAGCTAGGACTGTTCCTGGATGTCCCTGTCTCATGCATGGCTTACCTCAAGCTCGTGACACTTGCTAGTGTGCAAGTGAAGGTAGTTAATTTTAAAGTAAAAATGTTTTTTTTAACTGTGGAGTAGGAGGACAGATTTGTTTAAAGATTTTGCACTTTAAAGTTGATCTCTAGGCAGATATAAAATACACCCATTAATGCAGCTTTGTATTCATTAATGCATTATTCAATTTGATTTTGTTTTGTGCTGCATTCCTCATGTGGTAACAATGAATATACTGACAGGAGGAGTGAGTAGACTGACAGACAGATGAGATGTGAAGATAGGTCCACCACCACTCCAAAATGCAAAGAAAATATTGTTTATTGTAAATACTGCCATAAAGGTCAAAAAAGCCAACGTTTGGGGGCTATGCAGGGTCCCTTTCTCAAGGCGTAACAGTGATCTATCTTTACATCTCTGAGGTTCTGCACGGCGCCATCTACTTAGCCTTAAGGAAAATTAAGTAGCATATAACAAGTAACAGAATGACACATAGTTTGTCTCTTGCTCCAACATGTGTGTGGCAATGTCATACACCACTGTAAAATATGTTGTCCGCACACCATTTAGGTTAAGAATGTCATCTTTATTGACGTTCTTGCAGCATAACGTGAAAAAATGCAACATTTCGGAACCATGTAGGGTTCCTTTATCAGGCAAAATGTGCTTCATGCTGCAAGGACAATACATATGACATTCTTAAGCTGAATGGTATGCGGACATCATATTTTACAGTTTATGTTGTCATGCCATCCACCAGTTGTTCAAGCACCCAAGGAATTTACAAGAAGGGACCTAATGGTAAGAAGTGCCGTTGAGTTACAGTATAACTATTACTAATGCCATACACCAGGCTGACATTTAAATCAGATTTGGGAATGTTGATCTTTGAGATGGGTTGTAGTAAAATCTCTGTGCTGGTTTGGGTTTGGTAGACCCTTTTGACTTGTTTTAATGTAGAGTGCGTAAAAAAGTTTCTATTCATATAACAGACTCTAAATGGATTGGTACTTGTGCTTTTTTTGTTTGACAGTCTGAGTACTCTCTCTGTAACTCAGAAGTTCAGGCTTTTCTTTTTTTAAACTGGGAGGTCTCTCAATAACTGGACAGACCCTCTGTAACACTGCTGTCTGAACTGTCTCTCTGTAACCTACTATCCAGTGGAGTAAATATCTTTTGATCCATCTACTGATACTTTTTTGCCTTTTATCTGACAAAATTCACCAACCTAAAATTCCTTTCCCTCACTCCAGCACATCATTCCACATCATTGCTCAGGACTGGCATCCTGAAAGTGGTAACCCACGCCTGAGAAATATGTATCAGCACAACCACTTGTGGTCTCCACCAAGGGTGCATGTTATGGGGTGACAACAAAGGAGCACAACTGGGAGAACACTTTTACCCCTTCTTGGCAGGATCCCCAAGTGTTATAATATTATTATTATTATTATTATTATTATTAATATACAGGATTTATATAGCACCAACAGTTTGTGAAGCGCTTTACAATATAAGGGAGACATTACAGTTAAATTACAAATCTGGACAAGATGGTAATATGAGAGTCTAGTGGTTGTGTTTAGATCTACTTTAAATAAAGTAATAGTTTGGGTTGTTAAATATATCTGGGGATGTATTGTATATATTGTGTTAGAGGTATGCAAACACATAAAGTACCTTTGCCCCTTTTCCATTCTGTTTTAGTATTTGTTCTCTGTTAGCACCGTGGTATTGTTTGGTACAATTTCCTGCTTAATAGACAAGTATACAGGTGAAACTCGAATAATTAGAATATCGTGCAAAAGTAATGGCAGTAATTGCTGCAAAAGGGGCCCAAACCAAGTACTGAGTACATATGCATGCTTGTACTTTTCAGAGGTCCGATATTGTTCTATGTACAATCCGTGTTTTATTTATTGCATGTAATAATCTACTTTTTTGAGGTTGTGGATTTGGGGTTCTTGGGGTTTTCATGAGCTGTAAGCCATAATCATCACAATTATGACAAATCACGGCTTGAACTATCTTGCTTTGCATGTAATGAGTCTTATCTCATATATTAGTTTCACCTTTTAAGTTGCATTAGTGAAATAAATGAACTTTGCACAATATTCTAATTATTCGAGTTTCACCTGTAACATTGCTTATAAAAGTGTTGATTATTTAGTGCCATAGCCCTTCTGGGGCACTGGATTAGTGTTTGGAACTTTTAATAAGTGAAGGTTCATCTGACTATGGCCAGCATAACTAAAGTTTTCTACAGCTCTTTCCGCTCTAAAAACAACTTTCATTATCTGCTCAATAAAGATGCAAAATGGAAGAGTAACTGCTACTATATGTATTATCCCCACAGTAAAGAAGTAACATTTTCTGATCTTGCTATGCTCATCAATTACAAAATTCAAAATGCAGTTTCCATATACAAAGAAATATTGCCAGGCTGACCTTTAATATTAAAAATGTGTCAGTTCACAATGATTTTAATCAAACTAGATTTCTAGCTGTTTCATAATATGAAAAAAGCTATCCAATTACATAATCATAAGTTAGCATTTAGATATATGCACTAAATGTTTTAATGGGAATGTCAACAACATGAAAACTAATGTATTCTTTAATTGTATATACAGTATTTAGCTGTAACGTCTGTCTATTACCAATTTTTGATATGTTGACCGATTCTTTTTTGTTATGGGCACAGAAGAGGCTTTTCTGGTTAAGAAATGGAATAATAGGCATATTGTTACATCTGCTTTTGGGCAGGACTTCTAAAAGTTTAAAATGGCAAATCATTCTTAACAATCTGTGTAACAAGTGGAATTTTATGTGTAAATTACACTTAGTCCAGTGATCCATGTGCAATGAATATAGTTCTGGTCTGAGCTCATTTAAGGATCTATCAACATGTGCCCTTACTCCTAAGTATCTCTGTCTGGAAGTTTAAACCATGCATTTAAAAAAAAAAAAAAGAAACATAACACTAAATCCTATCTACACATTACACTATATTGTTTGTTTTGGATCTTGTGAGGATGGATTAGAGCTTGTTGGATTTTTACTGCTATTAGGGGCTTCATTAGGGAGATATACCCTTACTTCCTGTCCTGTTAACAATAGTTTAATCAAATAGGAAGTGAGGGAAAATCTGCACCAGCAGAACAGAAGTAGGGGAAATGTCTCTAATGAAACCCCGGTAAAAACCTGACATACTGTAGGTTAAAACCCCTAAATCCAAAACTAATGAACATACACTTTAAACCATACCAGCACTTGGCTCTGGGCAATGTTGTTTTTTTAACCTGCTCTACGCATTTAACAACTAACTGTTGGCTCATTTTGTAGTTAGAAGAAAAAGTCAGAGGATTTTTCTCTTCTTGTGATACAAGTAAAGTTCAGACGCAATTTAAATACATCCAGCTAAACTAACATTTCAGGCTAAACTGCTCCTGAAAGATAAGACATTAACTATGTTTAGCCAAAGATTGTATTTCCCAGAAATCTTTCACTTGTAGTCCTTGTGTTCACACAAGGTACAGTGTACTCAATTGGACATGAAGGAATGGGATCCTTTTTACTTTACCTAGAAGCTCACAGGAAATATAATGTACACTTTTTGAGGCAATTTTATGTCCTGAGTAAGAAACATATATAAATTAAATTTGTGTATCTTTAGTTAGTAAAAAATTAAGTTTAAAAATTAATTTTAAAGTGATTCATTTCTAACACTAATTAAAAAAAATAAGGTTTACTCTTTACTTTAGCACGGTGAGCAGAGCCATTAGCCTATCATCTTTCAAAGAAAAAGTAGATTTTTTTATGACTTTTTAGTGCACTACTGCCCTTGTTTAATGTTTTTTTTGGTCAAATTAGGTACCTCGGCTTATATTCGGGACGGCTTATACTCGAGTATATACGGTATACATAATATTTTTTTTATAATCATCTATATGCAGCTCAAGAGGACCCAGGCAATTTGTATCATCTCCAAACACACATGGTTTATGTCGATATGGAACCAAAACTGAATGCTGCTATGGATGGAAACGAAACAGCAAGGGACAATGTGAAGGTAGGTTTAATATTCAAATATTTTGCTGAATTCTGTTCTTGTATAATATAATTGTACATCCAATACTGTGGCTAATGATGAGTATAATAATTCAGTTACAAAGAAAGACATTCAATGAATAATATATAAGACATTAAAACTTAATACAATAACAATGTGCAGAGTATTGAGTTTTAGCGTTGAGTCAAACTCACTTGGGGTACTTACCAGTGCCTTGCAGCTACATTTTTGGTTTATAAAGTTGCAGCACCAAACAGTAATGAACAATAAATAAATATATATTTAGTCCCATTATGTATAGTAAAAAAAATAAACTAAGATTAAAAACAGCCTAAAGTTCCATCTACTGGCTCAGAAGGAGTATACAATATGCAAATATTAATATTTTTTTCCCCTTACCAAAGAAAGAACATCACCACAAAACAACCATACATTCTCTTTAAAAGAAAAAAATGAGTTATGGACACCAGCTCCACTTTTGTCCCTGCTGTCTTAAATCAGTCTGTAAGTAAGAAAATGCATTCAAAGGGCAGGAACAAGGATACGATTACCGTTCTGTTGACTCTGACCTGTCCCTATGTGGCCTGGAAACACTCACTTTTTTCCAGAGGGTGTAATTTAATCCTCTTACTAGATCAACAGTATTTAAATGTCTATTAATGATATGATTTGATGACAAAAGTATTCCTATTAGTTTTACATATCAGTGCATTTACTGTAATTCCACATATCCAGTTTCAGATGTTCGTGTATTACTGATTAGTCTGCTATGGCTTGACCATTAACAAAATATTATTCTCAGCTCCACAGCTAATCCAATAAACACACAGGTTTATAGTCATTTAGGACTTTATTAAAACACTGCTAACATATACTGCGTGTTCATATTTCTAAATGTTAGCAGAAACTAGATACACTTTTCTACATCGCCTTTGTTATAGGGATAGCTGAAATTCTAGACATAAACAGACTTTCTGAAATAAGAGTGTCGTTTGTAAGAATATGTAGGGGGATAACTATAGAATAGAACATCCTTTAGCAAAATACACTGCCTGGCCAAAAAAAGTCACAAACGCTAATATTTTCTTGGACCGCCTTTAGCTTTGATTACGGCATGGCATCACTTCAATAAGCCTATGCAATGCCACAACATTTATTTCAATCCAGAGTTGCATTCATTTTTCCCCCCAAGATTTTGTAGTGATAATGGGAGAGTCAGACCACTGTGTAAAGTCTTCTCCACCACATGCCAAAGATTCTCAGAGGGGTTAAGGTCTGGACTCTGTGGTGACCAATCCATGTGTGAAAATAAGGGATGCACCAACGCAGATATCACTGGGGGGTTTCATGGCCAGTGGTGCATGCTGGGAGAGTGCATATATACTCAGGAGAATTGCCATGTGCTCAGTTTAGTCCTGGTTGGAGTCTAGTTCCAGCCTGCCCCCAAGCTTGGCCTGGGGGCAGGAATGCTTATGTGCTGGAAATGTTGCCTAGGCCTCACGCCTGGAGGAGGCCTCACATGCTGATTAAGAAGGAGGAGAACCAGATACATTGATGGCTGCTGGAGGTGCCTGGTACTGGAATGGACCTCAGGAGCAAGTCTGGTTTCTCTCCTACTGAGGATCTCCTGCCTATCCCTGTTCCGCTGCTGCTCCAATACTCAATGTCAGCCAATGCTCCTATTGATTCTGCACCGTGGATTACTGAAAGGGACTGGTGAGTCTGGAGTTCTGTTCTGTACTATTTTTGTCATGGATGTCCTAAGCCCCAAGCCCTCTCTCCCTATTAAGAAGTTGTGCAATAAAATTCCATCAGCATTATAATTACAGTCTGGATCTCAGTCGTGTCAGTCACCAGAGAAGGGTGGTAGATGCTATTGGGTTGTTAAAATCCCCTAGACAGGCTATGGAAGATCTGTTCATCCAGCGGCTCATTTGGGGGTGAGCGCTACATGTGCAAAGAAGAGGTAGAATACTCACCTCTCCAGCAACCCGTGACTCTCATTTCCCCTCTGTTCTATTGTTGAAGCTGCCTTCCATCTCTTTGGCATTCAATGCTGCCTGTGCTCCACACTGTTAACTGCTTCCTTCCTTTAACCCCCAGTCATCCAAGAGAGAAGAGCAATGAGATTCTCTGGTGTCTCACATTAAAGGTGGGAAGTGTAGCAGTCAGAAAAGGGTTTTTTACCTCCCCAATTACTCATTAACACTGAGATATGTTGGTGTAGCTAGAGAAATGAGATCATAATCTGATTTGATCATATTTTTGTTCTTTCTTTATACCTCTCTATCATCCATTTTGTTCTTGAAATAAGGATTTTAATTGAAGGGGTAAGTGGCAATGGCATCAGATGGGCTTGTGTCAAAGGCTTCAGATTAGTATCAGTTTAAAATGATTCTGAGATCTTTCACAATTTGACAGGACCTACTTCTGACCTGCATTTGACCTGCTTCAAGCAGATTTTGCATTACTGTAGCCATTTATGGGAATAGGTTTTTAGTGAAATTATGAAAATTATATTTTTTCTTTATAGCCTGCACTATAATTGTTACTTATTGAATATTTCTTGTTTCATTCCCTAGCTGTGTGTGAGGAAGGTTGTAAGCATGGTGAATGTGTTGGGCCAAACAAATGCAAATGTTTTCCTGGATTTACTGGAAGGAGCTGCAGTCAAGGTATGTAGCATATATGGATAAACCCTTTCTGTACCTAATGTAAATAAAGTTGGATTTGGTTTGTTGCATGCTATAGGACTCCAGTAACAGAAATACTGGTCTGTTTTAGAATTTGGAATATCCTTGGTCATCACTTTTCTTGGCTTTTCTTCCAATAAATGTAAATTTTTTAATCAATATACAGGAAAAAATACCAAAGGAAATGTGACCCAGTATTGTCTGGGCCTTTTCCAGCCACCAAAATAGTTCCCAATCAAATTCCAAATCAATATGTAATTTCTCTAGTGTGGGTTAAAAAGGGAACGCAAACATCTGATTCTTTGAGCAAAACTGTGACTACAATATAGAATATGATAAACTAAAATCCGAATCAAAGACACAACACAGGACTGTGTTAAGGTGGAAAGAAACCTTCAGTGAAAGAAATTAGTTAACCGCCATTGCTGACCTCTCTGAAAATGGTTGGGGACATGCTGATCCATTGGCTTCAGTACTGACTGAGAACAAATTTTAAGATCTGAACAAGTCCATGTGCTGCATGTTATTACAAGGTCATTAGGTTAATGAAGTAGAGGGTGTTCACTTAGTAAAGTGTATGTTTACTTTAAAAAGTGTAAAAAGACAAACCTACGCTCATTTTGGGGGGGGGGGTGGGGCTCATTTTCACCAAGGCGCTTTTTTGTGGGGGGGGGGGGGGACCCAGTATTTAGCTTGCCTGTGATTGAAGTGAATTCTGCTTCCACTTCACTAAGCTAAGTTAACATTCACTTTGCTAAGTAAACAGCCTCCACTCATGGGTTACAGCACCTTGCATTGCATCATTGTTTTTTGCAATGCCTATTCAAAAGCCTTTTAATGTGTAGGTCCATGTATCACTCAAATGTACCACCAAATCTCCCTCTACCCATCTAGAACATGCTCCAGTTTAATTTAGTATTCTTTTGCCTTATTTCTGTAGACAGGCACAGTTATATTACTCCCTGTGACATCACCAGGCGTAAAATAATTCTTGCAGGGACAGCAGCTGGGAGGTTACTTCCTATTGAACTGGGCTGCTCCCAGAACTACAACTCCCAAGACCATTTACCCACACACGGTGTGGGGACAAGCTTTTGGGAGTGAAGGCAGCACCATTTTTTTCACTGTGAAGTAAAAACAATGTATGCACAGGAGTTGGACAAAGTGGTGTAGGAGATAGATTAAGTTCTGTAGTCCAACAGGCAGGGCAGAGTGTAGTCAGCCTGAACAAGAAGATAGGAGTACACTGGATTTCTGTGAGGCTCAATTGGTATTTTTTTGCAGCACATTACAATGTACATTATGTGTTGTGGTGGGCTATAGTGCATTGTTGAGGTGCGTTGTATCATTCCAGATTATTGGTACCCCAGCACACAAGACATGTATGGCGGGTTACTGTGCATTGTGGTAACATGTACATTTCACCATGCATTACCGCAGTGACCTAGTGCGAATGATTCGAAAAAGAGTCAATGCAGATCCTTAACGATGGGAAGGCAAGCATGGATTTGCCTTATACAGTAAATGCTGATTACAGAGATACTTCTCCAGTTGTCACTTTTCACACAAAATAAAGTGCAATAGTAAAGAAAAAAATCAGAGTAAAAGCCTTTCTTTCCAATCAAATGTGCTATTCCAACAGAATAATGCAAAAGGAAAACAAATAACAGTATGGTCCTACAGTGACTGCTTATCATCCACAACAGAATGCTATGGTGATCTGTGCTATCCATAAACTGTATATTAAATGTCTGGAACTCTTCAGTTCATCAAAGTATATTTGTGTGTTATTATTTGCTCTAAGATTTCTATTTTTGAGGTCTTTTCTAATAAATCCAATATGGCAGCATAATTTATCCTTACTTCCTTTTCTCTCATCAAACTGTATTTTGTCATGTGAGTATTATGAATTAACATGTATTACCAAGAAAACAGTTGTTATACCGCTTCACCTAGAAGTAACACTATGTAAAGAAAGTCTTTGTTCCAGGACATATTACGCTCATATTGGTAAATGTGGCCAACTAGACCAACCAACATGCAAAGCAAATTTTGTCTGATTCTGCAGGAATCGACTGAAATTCGCTCCGTTGGTGACCCTGTCCCCTCAACAGAAATCGATTATTAGGTTGACTTTTGCTGAAGGAACTTGTTGGAAATTCCTCGGTCAAACAGTGCTTACAGCTAAGTACTGTTCGAGTATTCTAACAGAAAATTGCGCCACTGTCAGAATGCAAAGCTCACAGCAGGAGATTCGTCCATCCACGCTGTTTAGTGTTGATGGAGGAATCTGTTATGTAGATTTGTTCAAGAAACGTTTGGACAATTTCTTGAGGGACCGTAAAATCCAGGGATACCAGTATCCCTAAGAATGAGATGATGCGTGGACCTAAATGGGTTGGACTTGATAGACGTATGTCGTTATTCAACCCCAAATACTATGTAACTATGTAACTATGTTATATTTTTCTTGCTCAGCCAACAGATTGAACAAAAAAAATATAACAGTGTATACCCAGCTTTACTGTGTATGAGGTGAGTTGCTGCCTTGTTTATGGTTTGCCAAACTCAGAAACAAGTCGAATACAATAGGCTTTCAGAGAAAAATGGTTTGTATTTAATATCCTTTTAGGCCATGTTTTAGGTGCATTCTCTGTTTTGTATGGAACTTGCAGTGTTGTGGCAGAACTTCCATGGGTCTCATGAACCGATCACAAACTGGGTACTAAGTAGACTCACCGAAGGCTTAATGGTATCTAAGGTAGGGCTTAACATCACCCTTTCAAAATACACTACCATCTTCATACTGAAATTAACAACAGCAATCTCTGTCTTCTCTACCATCTTTATTCCTTTTCAGGAGACAGGCTTGGGCATTACATTTACTGTGTTCTGGTTCAATATGTAGGTTGCAGGTACCCATACCAAGCCTGCCACATCTGCAGGTTTGGTTTAGAAAACAGTCAGGAACACAACATATCAAAGCAATGATAGCATCAGTCCAAAACAAGGAACAACTCAGGAGGAAAGATGGACAGAGGAATTTGGTCTCAAAAGAGCGGTAGTCCCTTCAAATTAAGGAGAGTTGGGAGCTATGCATATTTATTCTAAACGTAAAGTGTATCTACAGTATAGCCTCCACAATGGGTTACAACCTCGGCAAGCCTATTGTTTTTTGGGGGGGTTTTGCTATACGTGTACCAGCTTGGAAATTGTCCCTGGAACAGGTGTCCCCATTGGAAGATTTCCCCATTATAGCTTTGTGCGTGTTCCAGATACAGCAGCGCCACTCAAAAATTGGCCAGTAAAGGCAGTTAAATTCTTCACAACTTCACAAACAAAGTATTGGCTGGAGATTCAATTTAGAAATAAAACATATGTAAAACATTTGCACCAATCCCAATTCTGGAATACAAGTTTGTGACAAGTTGATATGTGATATCTTTTTCCTTTAAAGTACATAGTAATGATGAATGTTCTGTAAACAGTTTCAAATAATCAGTTTTTTGCCAGTATAACGTATCAAGAGATTAAAGGTCCCATTAAAAATACACCACATATATCTTCGCTGTCAGATGTGTCTGCCTATTAAACAATAACAGCTGCATGCAAAAAACAAGTGCAAACATTAACCTTTCATAACTTTTACTAAACCATCATAAAGACATTTCTAGTAAGGTAATATATAGTATCCTTTTTTCTACTAGTCTAAAAAAAACTAAAAACTATGATCAAATGGCACGAGGATTCACTTTGCAGTATATATTTGTATTGTTGTTTCCCTGTATTTGACTTTGAGCCTTCGCAAGAGAAATGGTATTTCATTTTATTTTTTTAATGCAAACTATTATGGGTGGGGAAAAATTTCTAATTTTTGTAGTGCAAACTTTATTAAATTATAATTTTAAACAATTTCTTGACCAACAATAACTGAACAACAACACTTGGGTCTATTTATAAATGTTTTTACACTAGATTCATACAACATTTACAAAGGATTCACACATTTATCCAGTTAGATAAGGTGTGCTTATCTAAAGGAACATTTATAAGTTTTCCGGCTTAAAGGCTAATTCCACCTTTTATATTCTGTTCCGTGTTACAACAATATTTAGGGTGTAAAGTTAAACATGATCACATTCTCCAGCCCTTGAATCGTGGGGTACTTCTCCCCACAGGTTTCTGTGGATTTTTGAATTTGGGTCCGCTTCGCATGGCTTCGTCATTCATTCACAGATCCCTTCACAGGATCTATGAATGAATAAATTAAAGTCTTATCTGCCACCACGACAGAACCACTTGTAGTTCTCAACTGAGAAAGTTATCAATGGACTACAAGTTCGGTGACGTCACTTGTAGTCCATTGATACTTTCTTTAAGCTCCATAACCAGGGTCTATACCTTGATACACACCTGGGGTTTGGGGGAAAGTCTGCAGGAGCTTATGCTTTGTAGGCTTCAATGCAAAAAAATTAATAAATGCACATTGTTTTTCTTTTGGCAGTATGCATTTATTTATTAATTGTTTTGTAAAAAGTGGAATATGTCTTTAAATGCCTCAAGATAAACTCAGGTTTCTGTCAGTCAGGAGTTTAACAGTTAACACTTGGGACTTGTTTCTTGGCAATGCTAAGGAATGTTACACTGACTGGTGATCCATCAATGAAATGCCCTTGAAGGATCATACATGCCTGAACAATCTATTTTACCATGTACATTTTTGTAATTATGTATTTTCTCTATTATAGTGTCTATTTTTCATCTGACAGCCTATGATAATTTATCAAATTGTCTTGTTTTATGTTCTTGCATAGATGACACCTGAAGATGTTGTAAGGGTCACTAATAATACAGTGTGAATTAGGTGTAGAAATCACTGAAATTCCAGCAGTAGCATTCTTTTAAGAATTGCTTATTTTCACATGTGTATGGTGTACGGACATTCTACTGTACTTACATTCTGCAAAGCGGACATTTGAGTTAAACTATATAAGTGTCACAATTAGATGAGCTCCATAAATCACCTCTGACAGTTTTGGACACCTAGGGCTGGAACCAATATTACAGACAGTAAATGAATATAACAGCATATTCAGGAGACACATTACAGGTCAAACACCAAGTGGACAAAATACTTCTGAGAGGTAACGGGTCACCATGACAGTGAAGCAAAGGCATACATACTGAAACACATTTGAAACAATGCAAGGTAGCTAGGGTCAAAGCCCAACTGCACCTAAAACTCATTATTTTTGTTAGGGGTGGGTTAGAGTAGGGGTTGGCAAACTCCAGACCTCCAGCTGTTGTGAAACTACAAATCTCATGAGGCATTGCAAGATTCTCACAGCCACGGGTATGCTTCCCAGCGACAGATGCATAATGTAATTTGTAGTTTCATCACAGCTGGAGGGCCAGAGTTTGCCCACCCCCTGGGTAAGAGCCTATATCAGAGCCTCTGTCCGGCTTTTATTGTCTTTGTCCCTACTGAGGAGATATTACCTTCATTTTTCTCAGGAGGTAAACTCTCTGCATCAAAAGCACTGGAAAAACAAAAATACATGGGATTGTAGACCCCACAGCACTCACAAACCAACCTGAAATAAAATGCATTAATAAAATAGAATGAGACTACACACCAAGAATATTGAAAAACATAATGGCAATGGCCCATTATTGGAGTTAATAGCAATATTTTAATTAACATTTAATAAATAACTTTAATCATGAACTCATTTTCAAACCCCTTTAAAACATAAATTAGCTCAGTCACAAGGACTCAAGCTATAATCTTAAAAACACCAGTCCAAATATAAAAAATAAACACTGTCCACTCCTACTTATTTGTTCTTCTTTTTTTTTAAATCACTTAGGGGTTTATTTATAAAACAATTTGCAGAGCCATTGGCCCTACGAATCTCTGTGAATGTTTGTTATGTGGGAATGGATACACAAATTTAACGTTCTTGTACATTTTCTTTTTAAGTCAAATATATTTTTTGAAAGTCACCTTGTAATACCACATGGCCAGTGGATGGAACTTTTTTATGCTCCTCAGCTCCACCTAGTGGCCATAATGCGGTATTACAAAATTACATTTGAAAATATATTTGACTTCTAAAGAACATCTGTTTTGTCCTTCCATTGGCATAGAACGAACATTCATTTGCAGGGCCAATGGCTCTGCGAATTGTTTATAAATAAACTCCTTAAAGTGTATCTAAACTCAAGAACCAAAACATAATATACTGTAGCTTACCAGCCCTAGATGTGGTGGTTGAATTAGTTTTCTTTTTGCAGACTTTTTTTTCTTTATTTGCACTTAGTGAATTTACCAGATACACACTTCCAACTCACTACATTGTATGTATGGAGGAGCAGCGTTGTCACTCTGGGTTGCTTGCTAGACTATAGACAATTTTCCCTGTCTCCTCTTCTCGATATCATAGAGGGAAGATGTTTTCCAGTTTACAGAGGTGAACTAGTCTGGGCTGATAACACTTCTTTGGATTTTAGTATAGCAAAGGTACTTTGTTCTCACTACAGGAATTTACAAGCTCACTAGACTTCAAACACAATCAACTGATACTTTTCGAACAGATATAACAAAAAGGTTTTAGTGGTTTATTTAACCCCTTCATGACTGAGCTTGTTTTTAGTTTCTGTTCGTAAATGACTGACACACTTTTGACATTTTTGCTGTGTGATTCTTCCACGTCAGTAATATACTTTCTTACAAAGTGCACCCACACATATTATATATTGTTTTTTAGAGGACAGATAGGGCTACATATTTATATCACATATGTGCGTCTAACGCCTCACTTAGGACAAATAAAATATAAAAAAAGAGGAAAAAACCGTTTAAAAAAAACACTTTTTTCCCAGTTTTGATTTGTAGTATTTTTTTTACAAAACCAGCACAGCTAAAAAAATGCAATAAATACATTCATTTATTTGTCCCTTATTTTATTTTATTTTTTACACATTTTTTTATTTTTTTTACACTTTTCACAATTTTTTTTTTTTTTTACACTTTTCACTTTTTTTTTAAACTTAAAAATGTTATTTTATTTATTTAATTATATCAAGCAGATTTTGTGAATTAATCTCACTGTTACTGCATGATAAATTAATAAATTTTTGGTTATTATCAGGCTGCTTCAAACTTCAGAACAGCCGATAATAAGTTAGTGACACTGATCCTGCAGCAGTTCAGGATTCAGCTGTTACTAAATGTTTTCTGATTGTTGCAACAACGATCAGCAAACAAACATTCTTCTTCCAGGAATAGATACATTGTAGGAATAGACACATTTTGTATCTATTCATGAAAGAAAAAAAAAAAACCCAGTATAGCTTGAGAGAGATATCTCTCGATCTATACGAGCTGTCAGAATGCCGGCAAAAGCCGGCATCTGTGTCCGCTTTGCTTTGACTCTCAGACACCCGATATTAAGGTATCGGGTGTCTGAAAAAGGTTAACCCTTTCATTAATGAATGCCTCTGTAGTAAGGGCATCCATTAATGAATGTTAAAAGCTGATTCTCAGCGATTAACAGCCCTCTAAAGCAGCAAATAACTCGTCACGTACAGTGTACGTGACAAGTCATTTGGTCCCTTTGTGGCTGGACGTACAGTGTACGTCTCCCGTCACGAAGGGGTTAAAGTGCATAAAAACCCAAACAATGAACTTCTCTTATTTGCTCCCTTTTTCTGTGTTATAGTGACAGAAACCTCAGTAGTTAAATCTTAAAAATGCATTTAAATACCAAAACTATTAATAATAATGTCTCTTATTTGTGTATCCAGTATAGTAGAAAACCAACTGCACTCCTTACCGGAATAATAATAAACCTGCAGAGCAGGTGGGTGCTCATAGCGACCACGGATGGCACCGTGAACAATACAGAAGTAGCAAAAATTGTCACCAGCACACCAAAGAGATTTGCAGCAAAAAGTCCTTTAATCACAAGTTGCCATTCAGTAACAAGCGCTTTCGGGGTCTCAAAAGTACCCCTTCATCAGGCTCAGAGCTTTTGGGGGTCTAAAAGTACCCCTACATCAGGCTCAGAGCCTGATGAAGGGGTTCTTTTGAGACCCCAAAAGCGCTTGTAACTGAGTGGCAATTTGTCATTAAAGGACTTTATGCTGCAAATCTCTTTGGTGTGCTGGTGACAATTTTTGCTACTTCTTTATTTGTGTATCCCTCGGCTATAGATCCTCAGATCATCTCTGAATTCATGCTGACACTGTCCTACCTTCTGGAGGGTGGCTACTTTTGTTCTCCATGGTCCCTGTGTGTGTGTGTTGTAACTTAGCCACTGTTCCAAGCTTGCTCCCATGATGGACTACAATCTCAATACAAATAAGTAAATTAAATTTGAGATTGTAGTCCGTAATGGGAGTGATCTTGGAGTGATGGCTACTTTACAACAAACACAAGAACTATGGAAAACAAAAGTAGCCACCCTTCAGAAGGGAGGACAGTGTCAGCACAAATTCAGAGATGATTTGAGGATCTACAGTGATACAGAAATAAGGTGCATTATTGTTAGTATTTAAGGTACTTCAATGCATTTTTAAGATTTTACTCCTGAGTTTAGTGTCACTTTAACTAAACCATTGAAAGCAATTTGTTATATGTGTTTTATATGTGCAAAAAATGTCTGTACATCCTGCCATAAATCTTGTGATCTCATAACTTCCTGTGCTCTCTGCCTACTGCAATCAGTCAGCATTGTTCCCAGGTCTCTCTGTGGACCACAGATAACCTACCCCATGTTATAAAGAAGAGGAAGTGGGGTATTCTGTAGCCTTGTCCTAGGGTGACAACAGTGCTGCTCTGTAGGTAGGTACAGTACAGTAAGTTAGGGTTGGTAGAAGGATCGGTGAAGTAATCTAACCTGCCAGAAGACCCTTGTAAAAACTGTATGCATGTATTTTTATAAGTGCACAAGGGATGGTGGTCAGGGGGTTAAAAATACTAAACGTCAGCATTAACAAACTAATGACAGTGTTATTTTCATGTGACCAAGCCCCTTGTGTTTCTCAGATATGAATGTCCTTTGTCCTTTTTTGCATAGTTGTACATACTTCTATGCATCGCAATCTGTTGTTGGATTCTTGTTAATTATCTGCAAGCCTGCTTCATTGGTGTTTATAGCACAGTGCAGGTTAAAGTTACAGTGAACTGAAGTAAGCCACATGAACTGATGTTAACCTCATTTCACTTTCCAGCTCCAAACCTTTTGGCTCAGCAATAAAACTGCTGAAAAAGTATGTGTCCACATATTTCTCAATGAAATGTCTTTTGCAGATCTGAATGAATGTGGTCTTAAGCCTCGTCCCTGTGAACATAGGTGTATGAACACTCATGGCAGCTACAAGTGTTATTGTCTTAATGGCTACATGTTGATGCCAGATGGCTCTTGTTCAAGTAAGTCATATAAACAGTTCATACATTTAATTTTTATCTCATTATATCCAATGCAAGTTATAGTTTGTGCCTGAACACACTCACTATTCTTATATCCGCAAGACAGCTAATATAAAACTGGTTGAAAATCTATGGCAAGTCTGGAAACCAAAATGCTGAGATGTCTCTAATTTGAATAATATGATCCATCTGCAGTTCTTATATAGCACTACATAGCTTCCTGGATTTATGTTATAATATTTGCTATGTCTGCTGTGCTACATACGTCTAGGTAATATTTATGTAGGTCAAGAAGTTTAAAGCTGAACTCCAGGCAAACACTCAAATACACAGTTGCAATACAGATATGAGAGTTGTCATATCTGCCAAATGATTTGTATTTCTGTCCATCGATTGATAATATTTACACGTTGGTGACCTGAGTTTTCACTTCTGTAGTTAAGCAATACAGCTTGGTCACCTCCTTGTCCCCACCCTATAACTGGGCAGCGAGGGAGAAGCAGCAGACTGATAATGGCCTCACTCTGCCTTCTTCTCCTCTCTGTATAGTGCTTGTAGTCACATGAACACTGCAGCACAACCATCTGGCTTCTACTGCTTCCCCTCTCATGTCAGTGTGAGGTCCACTGTAGAGGGGATTATAAGACACTTGTCAAATTTAAGAAATGACACCACTTGCTTTTAAATAGACATTATTCTATGCACTGGCCTCTCCTGAAACAGAATTTTCAGAATGTGGGGGTACACTTCTGGGTCTAAATGAAATATTGAATGATATTTCAAATATTGAATATTTGCATATTTGCATCATTGTTACATACTGTACATTTGGGGACAGATATGAACTGGTACATTTGCAGTCCCAAGGTAGATTTTTGGCTCTTGGTAGGTAACAAGGATTTATACTGTATATTCAACAAGTGAGAGAAAAGAAAAAAACAATGACCTCAGCTTTGCAGTCAGTATAAGTCTCAGGTGAAGTGATTGCATAAAAAGCTGAAATTGAAGTAAATGTTTATTGATGTAAATGCTATTAAAGATTCAGGCTCCATTCACACATACCGGTAGCGTTTTCCACGCAGTTTTTCACGTGACAAGCCACGCGGAACAAAACCGTGCAACCATTAACATACACGCAGATTCCGCATGTTTGTGGCTATTACTATAGCCAGAACGTGTGGAATCTGCCCATAAAATCGCGCTTGGACTATTTTGCAGGACATGCCATTTCGTACCACGTTGCCAACGCATTAGTCTGAACAATGCACATTGCAATGCATTGTTTTTATGTTTAGCGCGGTTTGTGCATCTGCATACTGCCAAATACACGTGGAAAACCGCTCATGTGTGAATGGAGCCTTATGGTGCTGTAAATATAGCTACTGTGAGTAACAAATGTTGAAAAGCATATGCCTTTGCTTTAATCAACATAACAAAACACAGCCCCATCAAGATGTAATATGTTATGAAACATTTCATTTGGGTAATTTTTTACTTGGTCCCACTGAAGGTATCCAATTTTCTCTGTGTTGCTGATGAGGAGACATGAAAAAGTAATAACGGCCATAATTGAAACCGTGTGCGATTAATCTTGTTTCTCAGACTCCAGGACTTGTGGAATGGCAAACTGCCAGTATGGCTGTGAAGAAGTCAAGGGGGAGGTGCGATGTTCATGCCCATCCAGCGGACTGCAGCTGGGGCCAGATGGAAGAAATTGTATAGGTGTGTTAAGATATTACTTTCAGTTTTCAGCTCACCCCAGAATTCATCCCTTAATTTCAAATGGCCATAAAAACAGACAAAAAGGTGCGCTGCATAGAGTATTCATCAAACGCACAAAAATCCTTGTGTACTTGTTTTTGTTCTATCTATATGGGAACAATTAACAAATGAAAGAACGTCTATAAAAAAACAAAATAGTTCAACAATGTAAACCTCCATTTGTTATTTTATTTTGAGTAAAACTGTCTGCTGATTCTTTGGTGACCATACATGTATTGATTTGTGATCCATTTAGGTGTGAGCACTTGCAAACAAGCCAGTCATCATCGATTCAAATATCAAACAATGTATTGTTATCAAACACACTGTATTATTCTGCCCTTTGTGATAAATTCAATCAGTCTTAAATTGGGATTGGGTCTTCGGCACACATGCAGATATTTGTGTGATCTATTAGAAGCAATCTACAAAGTCACAATTGATCGGGAACTCACTAAATTGATCAAATGGAGGTTTGCTGTGCAGTTTTCTTGCAGCTTAGTCCCATTTATTGCTCAATTGAATGATCATATTGATACATTTGTGGCCTCTGATAGGGCTCATTCACAAGGGCGTACACACACTGTTTGCATCCAAGTACGGCATTCAGTCTAGCACAAATATGGAAGTTTGGGTCGGCATGTAGCTGCGTTCTCCAAGCAGCTGCACGTAGTTACACACAGCACCAGTCTCTCACAGAAACAGGTCTCTGCACAGGTGTGCACACTGTATATATGTGCACGCCCGTGTGAATTAGCCCTTAGGGCCTGTTCACATGACGTCCATTTTCTGTGCTGACCTGATCCGTACGTTCCTGCACTAAAAATGCATCCCAATGTATCCCTATGTGTTTTATGGGCTACAGTTCTCACGTACGCAGTCCGTTCAGGTTACAACAGAAAAAATACTGCTTGTCACGTTTTGTCCGGTCCGGAAACGCAAAACGCATCAAAAACGCGTCAATAACGCACTGCACTGCAGCTAACATACAGACAGCCCCCACTCCAGCAAAAAAAATATATATTTTTTTTTTTTTAACTGGAACGCAGCAAAAACGCGGCAAAAACACATAGCACCGCGTCTGCAGTTTCGGACCTGATCAGGACCTGAAACTCATGTGAACAGGTCCTTCTGTGTTGATAGGCTTTGGTCTTGTGTCATTAGGCAAACACATCTTTCTTTCAGTTACATTGACCTTGCGATTGAGATCACTTTGAAAAGCTGTTGAGATCCTTCAGTGTTCATTGACAGGTGCATTTGACCTTCAGTTAACCTGCATTTGAATGAATTCTAAGCTACATCAAGCTGCTTTTGCATTGCCTTTGACGTCTATAGGGAGAGGATCAGTTCTGACGGAAACAAAAGCCCATTGACACAGACCCTTAGTGACACTGTCTGGAATCCTAAGCAGTGGCGTCACAAGGGGGGTGCAGGGGTTGCGGCCTAGACACCTTTAGAGGGGGTGACAGCAAAATGACTGTCAGTCACCCCCTCTGAAAAGTCGGGCACTCGATCATGGACCAAGAGCCTCACAGTTGCACGAGAGAGGAGGGGACCCGGCGGCATACCTCATCCCGCTGGGTGAACATCCCCTCCTCTCTTTGCCGTCGTCCATCATGAAGATAATAAGCATAAGCATGCATGATGTAATTACGCACGTGCGTGATGGCGTCATTGAGTACGTAATGATGTTGTGCATGCGCGATAACTTCCCAGAGGGATGTCACCATGGCTGGGGATGTCTCTGATCTTAGGATTTTACTAGTTTAGGGATTAAGCTTCAAAACACCTCCTGTAGGGTCATTTTTAGAAATAATTTTGTGGCGGTAGTTTATGGTAGCTACTGCATTACCCTTATCAGTATTTATGGTCCTAGTACAAATTAATTAGAGTCAAAGAAAGTTCTATGTCACAGGAATCCAAGCAATTTGTATTTTAGTCCCTGAGCTTTATATTGAAAAAGGCGAGTACAATGAAAACACAATTAGACAAAAAGATTACTTTGTGTGTTTCCCTTTAAATATTAAATATGTAGCAAACTACAAAATGTACACTGTGATTTGTATCACAACCCAAATTAACAAAATTATTTTATTTTTCCTTGCAGATATTGACGAATGTGCAGCTGGAAAAGTTACTTGTCCTTTTAATAGAAGATGCGTGAATACTTTTGGAAGCTATTATTGCAAGTGCCAGAGTGGTTATGAATTAAAGTATGTGAATGGCAGATATGATTGTGTGGGTAAGAATACTAAAAAGACTGGTAGCCATTGACATAATTAAAGTGTTTTGGATAATGGGAAAGGGTTAGAAACCCTGCCTGTCACCAAGACAGTAAGTGAGGGGAAGTCTATCTAATACAGACATAGACAGCAAAAAATACACCTTTTTAGTGAAACAGTAAAGAATTAGAAACTGCGTCAGATTTTACTGGCAAATTAAAGATATAGCCAGCATTCCTTAAACACTATGAGGGGGATTTATCAAAACTGAAGCAGGCAGAATCTGGAGCAGTTGCCCATGGTAACCAATCAGCTTCCCTCTTCAGTTTATTCAGGTAAGATTTGAGAATGAAAGTGAGAAGCTGATTGGTTGCAGTGCACTGCTGCTCTAGATTTTGTCTGCTCCAGTCTTGATAAATTCCCCCCTATGTATTAAAGTGACACTAAACTCAAGAGTTAAATCTTAAAAATGCATTCAAATACCCTAACTATTAACAAAGCTGCACATTAATTGTGTGTCACACAGCTGTAGACATTAAATCATCTCTGAATTCATGCTGACACTGTCCTTTATTCTGGACGGTGGCTACTTTTGTTCCCCATGGTCCCTGTGTGTGTTGTAAAGTAGCCACCGTTCCAAGCTCGCTCCTGTGATGGACTACAATTTCAAAGTTAGTTTACTAATTTGTATTGAGAGCGTAGTCCATCACAGGAGTGAGTTTGGAGGGGTGGCTACTTCACAACACATACAAGGACCATGGGGAACAAAAGCAGCCACCCTCCAGAAGGAAGGACAGTGTCAGCACCAATTCAGAGATGATTTGATGATCTACAGCCGAGTGATTTGTGTTATTAGTTAAGGTACCTAAATGCAGTTGTAAGATTATTTTTTTAAATAACGTTTTATTGAAAAATAAAAGCAATGTACATAGAACTAAGATAAGCAGACCACGCAACGTAAAAAGACAATCAAAAAGAACATATGTAGTGCATACATTCAAGCATTTTTCATATTAAGTACAAAGTTCCAAACTGAATTATACATGTAAAACACCTTCAAATTATTTCTTGTATAAGCATTTTAGATACAGTGAAATTAGTCTTACTTAAAAGTGAAACAAAATTTTTTCAACTATGTTGTGCATGGAAATAAATACAGAAAAATACATTTAGCATGGAAAAGAAAGTAAAACATTGTAAATAAAACTATTCCATATTAACCATGGATAACTGAAAAAGAAAAGAGAGGAAGTGGAAAGGGAGCAAAAAAGAAAAGAGATAGTGTCGCTAGAGGATTAGAAGAGAGAAGGAACAAAAGAAAAGGAGATGGAAAAAGCAAGAGTTAAGAGACCGATCTACCCTGGAGCAATCAAGAGCTGAAGAAAGATGACAACGGAAACCTCACTATATAATAAATTAGCTCGTAAAAGTTCATATACTCAACATGCAAGGGCTACTGTCTATCCACAGATCTCCAAGCTTCCCAGACTTTGTTATACAAAGAAAGGGAATGTTTAAGTCTAGCCGTTAGGTTTTCCAAATTCTGCACATCCTCTATATGAGCAAAGAATTCAAGTTTAGATAAAGGGAGCACACGTTTCCACTGCAATGCTATAAGACAACGTGCCACTGTCAAATTATGTATGATCAACTTCCGATCGTATTTATGTAAGTGCAGAAAAGGAAGGCCCAATAGGTAATGGAGAGGGGACAGTTGTAGTATCTTTTTGTGTAAGTTGTTCTAATGTAGATCTAACCATCCTCCAAAGGGGTTGAATAAGCGGGCAAGTCCAGTATATTTGCAGTAAACAACCAGGATTTAAATTACATCGCCAGCAGAGGGGAAGCATTTTTAAGATTTAAGTTTAGTGTCACTTTGAACACAGAGGTGTTAGTAGCATATATTTGCAAATCAATGCAAATCTCTTGGATTAAGAGGTCAGCAGATTGTTTCTTCTTATGCTGACGATCGCTGGAGTGAGGTTATCTGATTTTTATATGGGGAAGGATAAGTGAGTTTGAAATAAATAAAAGATTTTAGCCGGGTTACACTATGTACCATTTCTTCTGTTATTTGAGCATTATCGCACCCAAGTAGGATCGAGGAGTATCTCACCCTGAATAGAGATGGGCAATTAACCCAAGGAAGGGGAGGTGTGTGAGACCATACTACAGCAACCTCTCAGTTATCCGGTATAAAACTAACCAGAACTTTCATCTAACCATAGTTCTCCTAAGGGTAACGGGAGGGTATGAAAATGCCAAGTATCTGCACTGGTACTCGAAAAGTATCTGTGCATCCCTATTTTTTTTTTAATCCGCCCAGCTGCGTGAGTGACAGCTGGCTCTGCCTATCTAGAGGCAGAGTCAGCTGTACCCGCCCCATCCGTTCCGCCGGTCAGCGCTGGCGGATCGGAGCGGGGAGGGGGGAATCCAGCCCCACCCCTGTCACGGCTCCCTGCCGTGACAAGATCGAGAAGTGAGCGAACCCCGGTATGTGTAAGCTCACTTCCTGATCTACTGAGCCGACCTGTGACAGTTTCATTGTCACAGGTCGGATAGAACTATGAGGATGAGTGAAGAGCACTCACCTCATAGTTCTCCTTTAAGTGTGTCTATTTGTCTTAATTTGCTTTTGATTACTGCATTTCAATATTAATATGAAGTCAATACAGAGTTTATCTTATGCTATGGCATAGTATGGGGTATGGCATTAGTTAGACCTATTTTTAATAGTAACTCTCAAGCAACCAGAAACTACATTTATCCAGGATCTACCAATCCCAGTGGATGCTGGATAATGGGGAGTTTACTTTAATATACTTTATTTATGGTCAAAACCTAAGGTGCGCAGGAGTGTATGCGAGCACGGATTTAACGCTGAGTAAAGTTTCAATATAAATCTAGTGGTGATACTATTTGGACACAATTTTTGATCACAGTTATATTGAATTGAGAAGACACCTGGGACATTAGACACATTTTGCATTATTTTTTGTTTGAAAGTTACACTATTGTTAGGTGGTTTTAGACATTGGTGCTGTGTTTGCGTTCATGCACAGTGTTTTTGTATTTTCTAAGTGCCTGAGGCACTTATATTTATTTGGTTATTTTTTGATAGTTCTACACTGTTATTTTGTATATTTTTCTCATTGCTGTTTGTTTCACAGATTGTGTTTGCTGCTTGGTTTACGATATAGATAAATAGAGCGTGGAACACCTTTACTGTTATTCAATCAGTTACTTACTAAAAGACTGTAGTTACATAGGTTAAGACAGGGGTCAGCAACCTGCGGCTCCATGGACAACATGTGGCTCTTTCATCCCTCTGCTGTGGCTCCCTGTCCAGGTGTTCAGTCCTGGAACAGCTGTTCGATCCTGAAATGTCACTTCTATCTGACTTTGTGAGTGGGGTGGAATGCGAGCTTGCACTCACAGGGTCGGATGGAAGTGACATTTCAGGACAAATCAGCTGTTCCAGGGCAAATCAGTTCTCCTGCACATAGGATTTGCGATGCTGATCTGCCCTAGAACAGCTGAGAAAGCGTTGGAATGCTTGATCGGTCACACATTCCACCGCCAAAAAACTGGGCAGGATTACATTGAAATGTGTGACCACGTCACCAGTCACACATTGTAACGTAGTTACAAACTTTGATAGAACACCGCCATCAGAGGGTATGGCCGGTACTCATGTGAGGGGTCTGGGCAGCCTGGGGGGCCTCTTACATGAGTATCAGCTGCACCAGGGGTGGCTTGGCAGAGGTGACATGAGAGGGGGTGGAGGACGCCAGGCCCCAGCAACAGCAGGTAAAAGGAGTTGGGAGGAGGTACAGGGAAAGGGACCCCAGCAACCAGCCCACCTGAGGCCATGCAGAGCCCACCATAGAGAGTCTCAGATGGGCTGTGCAGGATCTATGGTAGATGCAGTAGATCTTAAGATTGAAACGGGTCCAAATAGCTCTTTGAGTGTTTAAGGTTGCTGACTCCTGGGTTAAGGGACGGCATCCTTTTTTCTCCAGACCTAACATGGCTATTTATAGGGTTTGGGATGGTGAAAGGTTTTTTTCCCGCTCTCCCCATATCACAGAAGTCAGGATATTTCATTAGGGTCTGGCAGCACTAAAATGAGGTACAAATCGTTTACAGTCATATGTCTTATTATACTGTTTTTTTCAAAGTTGTGTGAACCATAATTTGATTTAGGTTTAAGTTCTAGGTTTCCTTTTTAGACCATATACTTGCTTTGGCTATACTCTTGCCATTTACCCTGTTTAATGACTAAAACATACCAAGTTCATAAAGTAAACATAGTGATCTGCTTCCATGACTTAATAGCCAGTACCGTACCTGTGTCTGCATAAATTTCTGTATATATTCCTGCTCCCCAAGAGCCTTGGAGTCCTGGACACTAATATACAAATATCAGCATTGAAAGAGAAAGCGCGTTGGCACTCCACAGCCTCTTCGGACACCTTCTGCTCAGTTAATCTCATTGGTTTAATTAAATGGTCAGTTTAAATGTTCCTATCCAATCACTCCTCAAGAGGCAGGGTTGTGTCAGGATTATCTATTCAGTATGTTCAGTGGACAGTTCTTTGATCATTTCATGTTTATGGTCATTTAACTTGTTTCTTATTTCACAGATCTAAATGAGTGCCTAATGAAGACTCATAAGTGCAGCCCTCACAGTGATTGCCTCAATACCCCAGGCTCCTATAAATGCCGATGTAAACAAGGATACAAGGGTAGCGGATACCAGTGTTCAGGTAGGGTCACTTAGCAATGAACTGCAACAGTTAGGAATTACATATTTTAAGGATGTACTGTCCTTATCTAAGCAGAACTTAGGCCAGTATCATTTTAAACGTTTTTAGGTCCTCATAAACACCTATAGCTGTGTGTATAACATTACCATTTATTATATTTATTATTGCAATTGAGTAGTAACAGTTGTAAAAAAATAACATTACTTATTTGCAAAGCCTGGCCTTCTGTACCACTAACAGTCCATGTTCGCCAACTCTCTTCATAAAAGTAGAACATTGTGGGACATTGAAAAATACTGAGTTTTCAATAATTTTTTTTATTGAATATTTAGACATAACAGGTACTCAAACAAATAAGGTACACAGATGTATTGTCAGTGGCTATCGTTCTACCCCAATTTTTTAACAAACATTTATTACAGATATTTATATAGTGCCGACAATTTACGCAACACCTTACATACTATTCATTCACATAAGTCCCTGCCCTCAAGAATCTAAAGTCCTTATCTCACATGTGCACACATACTACGGGTGTTTTAGACAGGAGCCAATTAACCTAACAACATGTCTTTGGTGTGTAGGAGGAAACCCACACAAGAACAAGGAGAACATGCAAACTCCATGAAAATAGTGTCCTGGCTGGGATTTGAACTGGGCATCCTAGCACTGCAAGGCAGAATCATTAACCCATATCACAAAGGGCAATATATTCTATTTCTAAGCTTCTTTTTTTATATTCCTAACAAAATAATTTGATGTGTAAGCAAATCCTTTAGAAAGGTAGAATCATTTTTATGAGAAGAAAACCTGGTACCTTTTAGAGTAGGTCATGGAAACAGATCTGTTACAGTAATAACAACTGAAACACACCTATAAGCCTCCACTATTGAAAGATACAATATATGACTGATTGCAGAGTTGCAGGCAGACATTCCTTGCAGTCCGGCATACACTTTTATCTTTCACCTTTAGACCTGAGATGTAAAGTGAACAGAAGAATGAAGTCATCACTCCTTAATGCACCAGACAATAGAATAATCTTTTTATGTATCCTTACAGATAATAATATGAGAGTATCAGTGTTAATTAAGCTTGTCTATTAAGATGAACTATAGATTCAGATGGAAAAATAAAGATCAGAGGGCACATGAATTAAGCTTGACTATTAAATGAGCTATAGATTTAGACTTAAATCAAAAGATCTGAAGAAACACCATGGAACCAACAGACACATTCTTAAACGTGAGTGGTTGCTCTTCAAAGAGAATAACTGGCTTATGATTGTTTCATACATTAGAAGTTACTTTAGCCATTTAGTGCAAATTATGCCTAACACCTTGTGTTTCGACATTATATGCCAGTAACCAGAATTTATTTACGGCTGAGCAAACAAATCTGAACAGTTTGTTCAGATTTGTCCATAACTTTTTAAAATCTGACAATATAACTTGTGCAATGAAGCTATAAACCTAAATCGGCACACACCATATTTATCTATCAGATTCAATTAGAAATGCCAGGGTCATTCAACCATCACATAGGATTGCTATTTAACTTTAGATTATTTATACTAAATAAATAGACCCATGACGAAGTCAAAGAAGCCAAACTAAAGGCACTTAACCCTCATACATGGAATATACAATTAAAATTTCAGTTTCCTGAACAATGGCTGAACCTTTCCAGTTCTTCTAAATTCCAGGAGACTGATGTTATACAGTGCAACATTCAGTCATTGCATGCGTAACTAAAGAATCGCTGCCAAGGTGACAGGAGTGATTTATGGCTTCACTCAGTAATTATCATAAGTAATGTTAATGTGGTTTGCATGTTTTAATGTATCAAAAAAACTGAAGAAAGAAAAGTTCTCCAAAAATGGAGAACATATACCTAGTGGCCAATTGGATTATTTGTTTCAGTTTCCAAGAGAATTAAAGCAAAAAAAGTGCTTGTTTTTCTCTAGGTTCAAAAACAACAGTTATACTCACCCAATCCTCCATGCCGGCCAGCTGTGACAGCGCTCCACCCAGTCTGTCTTCTCCTCCGCTGCAGTGATGGAATGTCTGTTGGTGTCCTCACGTCCAATACACTGTGTATAGAATGTGATGAACTCGAGGATCCTTAGACCGCTGCAGCAGAGGGGGAGCGAGGCGGAAGGGACTGATCTAAGATCATGTGAGCATAACTTTTAACAGGGTTAACAAAAAGTTTACCCGGAGTTCTGCTTTAACATTTTCATTAACAGGCCGAATAGTATTTATTTTAATTGCATTATAGCCTTTTTTATCAAAGAAAAAAACTACCATTCCACTTAACTCCAGGTCCAAAATGTGCTTTCATTGCTAATTGTTATGGAACTCCAGAATATATTGACAATATAGCTTTCTGAAACCTAGTAAACAGCTCTTGTCATAATAGATAATTAGATACCATTCTAGCAGTACAAAAACAGAAATTGCTGTGTTTACGTTAGGGACTCATGCACATTTACTTTAGGGACTCATGCACATGGGCGGCTATGCATTTCCCCCACCAAGGAGTCACAGGTGCTGTGTACAGCCTCCCATATAAGTTAATGAATGTGCACAGCTGTAGTCTTATACATCGGACTTGCAGAAAGCACAGGCATTGCAGGCAGTCAGGATTCGAGGTTGTGCGCCCGTACACATATGTGTGTTTTATGCATGTCCTGTGTATATGAATGTACAGCCATTGACTACTATTGTAGGCAGGGACGGATTTCCCACAAGACCACCGAGGCCTGGCCTTGGGGCAGCACAGCCGCTGAGCGGGTAGTTTTTTTCCCCCTACATTTAGCCCCTGTGTGATAGCAATAAAGTTAAGTGAAAAAAATAATAGTAAAATATAGAAAATTAAAAAATTAATAAAAAGTAAAAAAAATAAAATAAAAAATAATGAGAAATAATAATTAAAATTAAAAAGTGATAAAAAGTAAAACATTATAAAATAAAACATTATAAAAAAGTAAAAGACATGGGGGTGCCTTGAGGAACCTGGCCTTGGGACAGCAGAGAGAGTAAATCCGGCCCTGATTGTAGGTTGTATGCAGGACCTTGGAGGGAAATAAATAGGAATGTACATTGTGCAGGTTCAGCCACCTGTGTGCATGAGCCCAAAACTTGCTAAAACGCAATTACAGTTTCATTCTCCAACATCTGCCTCTGTACAGCTCCCACCTGTGTGTTATGGAGTTGCAGATAATGGGGTTGGTTTACTAAAAAAAATAATGGCTTTAATGAATGTACATAATGAATACTAGTGAATAGGATGAAGCTGTGTCCAATTAGAATACTCAATAATACATTATTAAAAAAAACACGTTTTTCTTTAATTCACTCACCATGATTGGGTATACAAACTGAACACAGCTTCACCTTATTCACTTTGCAAAGTGAACATACACTCTATTCCATTATTAAATCAATCCCAGTGTCTTTATATTTTCTGGAGTATTTCTGTGCTACTCCACGAGTAGCTAGAAATTGCAAAAGGCAAGAGCTAGAATCTAGTTAAATGAGAATGTGCAATCAGAATGTGTTATATTTCCATGGAATGGAGTGGTTTGTACTTCTTGTTTAACTCTATATGGCTTTGTAATCCATGGCTTGGGTGTGCGTTTGGTCCATATATTACACTTACAATTACTTAGACCTGACAACATTTATAATATTTATATATATCCTTTATTATTATACCATTCATATACAAATATGTGAATAAATGTAAATGTTTGGCTCCATATATACATATATGGCACAGTTCTTCATCAGCAATAACATGTACAGTGAAGTATGAAAACAAGTAGGTAATTTAGCACAGTCAGGTGTCATTTTCTATTGATGAGATATACAGTATATTAGATTGTTTACTTCAATAGTAATAATAGCATGAATGTTCTTTCTATTTTAATAAGGGTAATTCATGTTTTATCATGCACACAGTAATAATATAAAATGAATAATACACATAATACAGCACTCTTATCCTTCTATCTAAATAAATAGCATATGTTTGGACTGCAGATCGCTGTCAGTGATTTGGCAGTGGCTGCACATTCTTGTGCTCCAGAAAAGTTAATGGTATGTTTGATTTAGCTTACTGATCAACATACAGGAGCCACGTCAAGAATGTGTAACCTATGTTTCCCTTAACAAAATAAAAATGATCAAAGAGTCTGATTCAGTGTAGTATTTGTTTTCATGTGACACCATGATAAACATTGAATGAAATATAGAACATTTATAATAATATAACTACATAATGTAAATTATGTTCATGAACATGTAGAATATTATTGCAACTGTTCTTCAGCTTGAATGGCTTTGAATGTCGGTTTGTATTAAGCTACCTATGCCAAGCACATCTGATTTAGATAAGTACATGCTGCAGTAAGCACCTAAAAGGAAAATTCCTTCCAAAGGATTTAAGAGGCAATTAAGAAGGTACATAGTACAATAATACTCATCTCCGCCCTGTTGTTCCTGTGATGCACGGTTTGTGATGTCCTAAATACAACATTCCTTCTACTGGCATTGTCCCTGTGTGAACCTTCAGGTTTGCTAATCTCACTCAGGCATTTCCTGCAGATTCCTACCTGTATCTGTTCCACAGATATTAAAAACATGTCTTCCCCTTGGGCTGCTTACATTTTTCAAAATGGAAAAGGGAAGGTGGTCATCAAGTTAGCTGTTTCACATTTGAATATTGAAATATACCATCATGCTTTTAGGTATCTAAAGCTGCCAAAGTCTGGTACAGGCTAAATGATAATACTATATAATAATAAACAAATGAATATCATTAGGGATGCACCAATACCGATACCAGTGCCAATACCGAGTTTTTGGACGAGTACTCGCACTGGCTCAAATGCTCCGATACTTACCTCCGATACCGGAACTTCTGGTCAGAGGGAGATCTCCATCTGACGAGCAGTGCCTAGGAATTATGGAGCAGGCTTCCTTTCCAATCAGTTATGACCTGCCTCCCGGCTTCATGATTGGCTAGGAAGCCGGCTTCACTTGTTGCTAGGCAGCCTTGCTTCCTAACCAACCAGGAAGACAGGCGGCATGTGTTGACCCGCCTCCCAGCTTCCTGATTGGTCAGGAAGCGAGGCAACCTCGGGAAGTAAAAATCGGTGTTCTTCCAATAGAACACCGGCTTCCCAGGCAATCAGGAATCAGGGCACATGGCACCAATATTGGTACTCTGTATAAGCGAGTACCAGGGAAAAAAATATCGGTACTCGATACCAAAAAAACGGTATCTGTGCATCCTTGTAAATAAGAAGGGATTTCTCTGCTCTCCCAGGTTGCAGTGCAGAGCATGTCAGTCATGCTAGCAAAGTAGTAGTAAAGCTTTCATGGTAGTGATGGCTGAATTAAGTATTTAGATATGATTCTGCACTGGCATATGCAGCTTTCATTGCTTGATACATGGCAAGTCGATTGTAAGTTTGTGTCCGTCCTTATAAGAACAAAAGCAATCATACTATGCATGTTTGAAATATATGATGTGAAGTCAGCTGAAAATGTACATCTGTTTGGTTTCACCATAGCTGTTCCAGATAAACCTGTGAAAGAAGGGCCTAAAATAGTTGGAAGTGCAAAAGACACAATAAAGAAACTGTTGGCACATAAGAACGGCCTAAAGAGGAATGAAGACATAAAAAATGTAATACCTGAATTGGTTGTAACACCATCTCCAAAACCACGTCTACAGCCATTTGACTATGTGGATGGAGTTTACATAGGAGAACCTTACAAAGAGAAGGAAGAAGACAGAGAAGAGGAGGAAGACCAGGATGACAATGAAGATGAAGAGGATGATGGAGATGATGATGAAGATGAGGATGACTATGAAAATACAATTGTACAAAAGAAAACACTGAGAGGTGATGTGTTTGGTGAGTTCTGTTTTACTCTTTTTGATGGAATAGATGAGTGGATAATCGAAAATGGAGAACTCAATCCATTCACCCAATCTGTTCCCACCAACTGGATTCAGATCCATCAGTATATATATATTTTTATATCATTCAAATTCTTTATCAATTTTTGTAAACAATACAAAGAAAAGGACATGCAGCCCTTCTAAGATACTGTATCTTCTATAACACCCTAGTCTCACAGTCTTCTATCCCCATGGCTGGAAGTATATGAGTGTTTGGACCCCATGACATGCTGATACCAGACTATATGCTTTACAGTACTGGATGGGTGCTCCAATAGTGGGGTCTATTAGCCTTCCCCATTTGAAAATATTAACTCACCATTGACAGACACTGGGCTAATCCATTTTTTACAATGCCAGAGGATGCGCCAAGGAAACTTGGGGAGGGGTTATATACTACTAACCTCCCCCACTGGAGTAAAAAAGTTGCTAACTAATTATACAGTGAACTGGTAAAGTGCAAGCTGGACTTTACACATTTACCAGCCTGCTGAAAAAGTAAAAACATTTAACACTAATTTAAAAAAACTTTTAGAACTAAATACAATCTACCCTGTCACCCCCAACACCACCCAGCCCTTAACAATTTGGCAATTAAAAGATTAAAAGAGTGAAGCCATCCTTAGATTACTTATCAGATCTAAAAGGGTATACAGGTTGGTGTCAGAATGCCAGGCAGCCAACATACATGAGTGTTTTTCCATTATAGATTAGTGATGGTATCTGTGATGATTGGATGGGTCTTTATTCTCTGAAGGCTGTTTATAACCTGTGTTTCAGTCACTTTATTAGCAGTTTAGAAATACCTGCTGTGTGTTTACATTGGGGGCCTGGCAGGCTGCCAAGATTCTGCTCTCCATAGAAAACAGCTGAGACTTTAGTGGGAACATTGCAAATTTTTTTTCCACAATGCCTATAACTACAGAGGTGAATGAGAGCTTATTTTACAGTGCTTTCACTTCTTATTCAGAATATATAAATACTGTAATGTGCATTGTCTGGGCACAGGTTCACTTTACATTGCAATAAAAAAGGCCTGAGTAAGGCAAGAGCTTGCTAGCTACTTAATGTATGAGGGATTTTATATCAGTATAGTACCCAAATACCAGTTTTCATTTGTAATGCAATACTGATTTTTTTTTGCTAGGAACATCCTTAGATCTAAGCCTCTAGCACATGAAATTGTTTGGTATGGAATGCAAAGTGCTAAGGGCTACAGACAAATGGAATTCAGATCATGACATTTAACTGAGTTTAGATTTATTAGATTTAGATGAAAAAGGAAGCCCTCTTACAGCATCAAGTTAGATATCACATCTTTTGTAAATTCAAAGAATGTCATTTTAAAAAACAGTGAACTTAACAATATTAGAAAGCGCAATAATGAAACGATAAGGATAATACCATAAATGCTTCATCTACTTTTTAAAGACAAACTGCACGTATTATCCATCCCAAAAGATTATGACCCAGACAGAGTCTGTGCATTAGGTAGCTAACAACAGCATGCTGCAGCATGCTTTACTACACTAGAGTCCTACCAAATGTCACTAAGCACTGATTGGTTCTGAGTCCTAAATCTAAAAAATAGGGGAACTGTTAGGTAGATCTGATCAGATACCATATTTTAAAAATATCCTGTTCCTAACAAAACATTAACACACCATTTTCATTCTAGAATGTCAGCCCCAAAGGTCCACTGACAAGATAATTAGCAATATGTAAGTAAGTTTCCACTGATTTAACATCTGTGGACCATGGGGAATTTGACACTGGGAATTAATAAATAAGTAGCATATATACCCAAAATAATTTTAATTAGGCTGCACATATCAAAGCCACACAAAAAAAAACAAATGAAAAATGACAATAAACAAAAAAAACAAATGCTCACACGGTAAAATATATATA